GCTCTTCAGACTCATCGTCGCATCGTCCACGGGGTGCAGCACGAACTTCGACGGTTAGTGGTTACGAATCAATGCCCCTGGTGCTTGAGTTGTTTTCCTTCGAGGGAGGGGGCGATGCAGCACGCATCACGAGTATCAGGGGGATGGGTATCGCGAGGAGCGAGGCGAGTACGGCGAATGTGCATGGTCGACCACTCTCCCTGGCACCACGAGCCGATCGAGCCCCATAGCCTCCAATGCCCCGCCTGTGAGCGCTCCTTTGTCCATTTGCTCGAGCTTCAAGTACATATTCGGTCACATCATGAGGGCCCCACTGGCCTTTCTCTTGCAGTGGACAGCGATGAGAGCAGCTGGAAGCACCGCAGGCAGCGCACCGCCCGTCAAGCCGATTCAGTTCCTGTCAGGAGGGATTCAGAAGGGCACGGTGACGAGGAGGGAGCGCTCGGCGACCATGGAAGCAGTGAGCGAGGCGGCCGCCCCAGACCCGAAGACGGCGAAGCAGGTGAGGGAGGACGACGTCGAGCAGGAGAGGAAGGCACCAGAGGCGGCCAAACCAGAGGGGGCGACACCCACGGGCAAGGCGAAGGCGGGCAGCAAGAAGAAGAAGAAGCTCGCGACCGATGGTGGCACGAGGCCTGCCGCCGCCAGCTCCAGCGGGGTCTCCGACGGGATGGTCGTCAGGCTGCAGAAGGGGGTGCTGAACACGATGCAGGGGCAGCGCGGCCTGGAGGGAGCGGTGTACGACTTCCGCCTGGTGCCAGTGAACAGCGTCACCGTGGAGGCGGCGGAGGCGAGCGGCAAGGAGTACAACGAGGCGGTGGAGTCCAAGGCTTACACCCCACAGGAGCTCGGCAGCCCGCACGTCCAGATCGCGAAGGGCGTGATCAACAAGCTGGCCGTCGCAGACATGGGCAACGGGCAGCAGGTCAGGCTGGCGCAGTGCGTGATGTCCCTCATGAACGCGGCGCTGGAGGAGTCCCCATCGCTCACGGGCGAGGTCTTCAAGGGATTCCGACTCAAGCGGGCGAGGTTCGACGAGCAGGTGCAGGCGACGGGGTACAGCAAGCTGACGATGGCCAGCAACCCGCACGTGCAGCTGCCGCTGGAGAACCCCAAGTGGCTGAGCAAGCACGGCGTGGGGAAGAAGAAGGCGAACGAGGAGGAGATCATGGAGAGCGACGCGGAGGGACCGCGATGCCTCTCCGACATGCCGCTGATGCCGATCTTCGTCAGGGACGTGCGGACAGCGTTCCTCACCATGCTGGAGGCCGAGGGCGCGGTGCGGTCCGACGGCCAGCCCCCAAGGTCCAGGCTCGAGCGAGATCTGCAGAAGGATCTGGGCCAGATGCTGAAGTTGAGCTGACGGCCCTGAGGCAGCAGGCGGCCAGCGTGGCCGCGATGGTCGCTGCGACTGGCAGTGAGCGAGGAAGAGAGCTCCTGAGGGCCCTTGAGAGCAGGGTTGCCCGGCTTGGGTCGCTCCGAAGGAGAGCCCACAGTCGGACGTGACGCGCTGCGGGTCCCCATCACCCCCAGGCTGTTTGGCGGGTTCTGGCCCTGGTGGCTCCGTCCAACAGCTCGGGGGTGGGTGGGATCCGCGGTGCTTGGATGCAGTCAGCGTCGGTCGCTAGTCGCGGGCCCCCCTGGCTGTATCGGACCCCGTCGCCGCATAAGCGGAGCGGGGCGCCGCCAGGCCCCCGCGGCCGCGCGCCGACTTCGTTCCCGACGTCACAGGGGCACATAACGTTTTTGAGTTTTTTCGGCCTGGAACTCGGAATTCGGTGTCTAGAGCCCTGAGACTGGTTTTGTTGCCCCCGATGTGTGTTTAGTTTAGTTAGTTAGGAGGAGGAGGAGGAGGAGGAGGAGGAGGAGGAGGAGGAGGAGGAGGAGGAGGAGGAGGAGGAGGCCGCCTCGCGGGCGCTTCGCGGGCGCCCCGTGAGCTTGGGGTGGCGTGTGCCGAGGTGGCGCGCCGCGTGGCCGCCTCCTGGGCGCCTCCTGGGCGCCCGCTGAGCTTGGAGGGTTCTCCTCCTCCTCCGCCTCCTCCCTCCGCTCCTCCTCCTCCTCTCCTCCTCCTCCCTCCTCCCTCCTCCCTCCTCCTCCTCCTTCCTCCTCGTCCTCCTCCTCCTCCTCCTCCCTCCCTCCTCCTCCTCTCTCCTCCCCTCCTCCCTGCGCCCTCCTCCTCCTCCTCCGCCTCCTCCTCCGCCCTCCTCCTCCTCCTCCTCTCTCCTCCTCCTCCTCCTCCTCTCCTCCTCCTCCTCCTCCTCCTCCTCCTCCTCCTCCTCCTCCTCCTCCTCCCCCTTGTCCTCGGCCGTCTTGGGCCATGCAGCGCCCCGATGGTTATGCCCACGAGGCGCCTCGTGTGCGCCTCGTGGGCGCGCCGTTCGCCGGGGTGGGGTAAAAAGTCGAGGGTGATTTCCAGGCACGGTCGCGTCGTAGAAGAAAAGTCAGGACGGGAGGTCTGTGGCCGTCTTCTGCCTCGGGGGGGCCCTCGCCCTTCCTCGGGACCGCCCAAAAGACGACTCGGGACGAGAAGCCGGCCCCGGGGAAAGGGTTCGGACTTCCAGGGGCGCCGTCCTGGAAACATCGGGGCGTCGCATGTCTGGGTCAGCGGGCCGACCCAGGCAGATGAAGGGTGCCCCTGTGCCCCGCGTTTCGCGGCCCGTGCCTTCTGCAGATTCCTGTGGCAGCGTGGCCCTCGTGAGGGTCCTGTGTCCTCCTCGCGCGCCCAGCGGTCGTTGAAAGTACGTATGTCTGAACTCCCAGATTCCAGTCTACTTTAGGCGCCTTCCTGCTCCGATGACCGAGCGGCTCCCCCTCTCCCCTCCTCTTCAGGGGGCGGGCGGCGAGGCCGATGAGTATGCCGACCCTGGCACGTGAAGGGTGCCCGTGTGTCCCGTGCTTCGCGGCCCATGCCCTCTGCGCTCCTGTGGCAATGTGGGGCCCCCGGAGAGAAGGGTGCCCCGAGGAGGAGGAGGAGGGGGAGGAGGAGGAGGAGGAGGAGGAGGAGGAGGAGGAGGAGGAGGAGGAGGAGGAGGGAGGAGGGAGGAGGGAGGAGGAGGAGGAGGGAGGGAGGAGGGAGGAGGGAGGAAGGAGGAGGAGGAGAGGGAGGAGGAGGAGGAGGAGGAGGAGAGAGGAGGAGGAGGAGGAGGAGGAGGAGGAGGAGGAGGAGGAGGAGGAGGAGGAGGAGGAGGAGGAGGAGGAGGAGGAGGAGGAGGAGGAGGAGGGAGGAGGAAGGGAGGAGGGAGGAGGGAGGAGGGAGGGGAGGAGGGAGGAGGGAGGAGGGAAGGAGGAGGAGGGAGGAAGGAGGAGGAGGAGGAGGAGGAGGAGGAGGAGGAGGAGGAGGAGGAGGAGGAGGAGGAGGAGGAGGAGTGTCCTCTCGCGCGTCCTCGCCGATCGGCCCCCAGTTGTGTGCCGAGGTCGCGCCGGGCTGCCGCCCGTGCGGGCCTCGTGGGCGCGCCCCCGCGTCGCGCCCCGTGCTCCGAGCCTGCGCGGCGCAGCTCTCACCGCATGGCTTACACGCCACCCTGGCAAGTGGAGGGTGCCCTTGCGCCCCGTGTTTCGCGCCCCGTGCCTTCTGCATATTCCTGTGGCCGTGTGGCCCGTGCGGGCCTTGTGGGCGCGCCCCCGCGTCGCGCCCCGTGCTCTGAGCCTGCGCGGCGCAGCTCTCACCGCATGGCTCACACGCCACCTAGGTTTTTTGAGTCGGGCATGCCCCTCTACAGGGGGAATCGATTCACAATCGTCCAAAGATAGCTCAGGGGCGGCTTCCCTTCCATGTTTGCATGCCCCTCTACGGGAGGAATCGATTCACAATCGTCCGACAACAGCTCAGGGGCGGCTTCCCTGCCATGTTTGACTAGTTTTGAGGAGTATTGTTTGACTACGTGTTTATTTTTCGTCCAAACTCCGCGTGTAGAGGGATGCCCGACCTAAACTTAGTTCGCACCGCGAAAATTGCGCAGCGTAGCTCACATCACATGGCTTACATCCGATGGCTCCCACCTCCAGTTCGCACAGCCTACCTTACGGGGCTTGAACCACTTAGCGTGCACCGCACAGTTGTCACCCCACCAGCTCAAAACCACCCAGCGTACACGATGCAGCTTTCACAACATAGCTTACACCGCACTGATGCACTGTTTGGGGGTTCCTCGCTGGCTATCATACTGTTCAGGTGGTTCAGTTGTTTGTTTGTGTGTGCGTCGTGCTTGCTTTATTTGTGCTCTCTCTCTCTCTGTCTCACTTTCTCTCCGTCGCTCCCCCTCTCTCCGTATGTGCTTCAACAAGTGTCGCAAAGTTATTTCGCGCTGCGTGTTCAGGGGAGTTCGTGCCGCCCACTCAGACTGCCGGGATGCCACAGTACCGAGCACACACAAGGGCTCGCTGTGGCGTGGGGGGTGCGTGTCTCGTTGTGGCGCCACCCGCCCAGAGTACCATCATGGCCTTGCGCAAGGGCACGGCCCACGTCGTCGAAGAAAAGCAAATTGCGTAAACAGACTCAACCGATGTTTCGGATCGGCGCTGGATGACCTATTTTGTTGAACCTCTTTCTCGTTTCTTGCCTCTCTGCCTCACCTATCGGGTGGTGGAGGGTTGCGCCGCCAGGGGGGCCCAGCGCCGATCCAAGAGGTCCGCGCGAACCTCCGAAACGCTTACGTTCGTATCGCCTCTGGCTCCTCTGTTTCGGTAGCAAATCATGGGAGCCTTGCATGTTCTCATAATTCCGTCAGTGGAACACTCGCGTGTGATAGCTGGTGGTAACACGAGAGAGAGGGAGAGCCAGAGAGTGAGAGAGAGAGAGAGAACAAACAAACACAACAACAGAACAGCAACAACAAAAGAGGGAGAGAGAGAGAGAGAGAGAGAGCGCCGATGCAGTGTCCATCCAGCGTCGATCAGGGTCGACCGGCGTCGATGCGAGCGTCGGCCCGAGTCGCCTCGCAGGGGCCGGCAGGGCGACGCGGGAGGCCCCCGGGAGCCGCCCCCGCCTTCGGGTGGCGCAG